GGACTCAGAGATACGAAGAGAGATTAAAGTCAGAAGTCATGGCGACGACTAAAAGCAGCAAACCTCCAAACGCCCCAATTCTGCTTTGACAGTCACTGTTCCTCATGAGGCCTGGAGGTAGCTATACACACAGAAGAAAATAAATATCCGTTCTTATTAGCTAGACTTGTGCAAACAGGATCTGTCTTTAGCCAGGGCTAAAGCACATGGGGTGAGACTGAAGAAATCTTATCACCACTGGGACTCAAGGAAGGGCAGTAGAGTGAAGAGAAGGGAGTTCCAGAAAGTGCTTGAGACGAGCCAAGAGAAGTATATGGCCTAAGGTCCTCTGGGCACAGTGCCCACTAGCTGAGCTGTTCATTTGCTTTCGAAGGTGACCTTGTAATGTAGTGATCCTGCCCTCTAGTAATGCAGCCCAGCGAGCATCCCGCAAGCTGGTTCAACAGTTCAGAGTGGCCTTCTCTTGGGAAAAGGTGACGAAAAGCCAAGGGAAGAGAGACAAGGCCCGTACTCCCTGGAGGTGTGCATCTCCCCAGATGCCTACAGCTCAGGAAGGTTCCATTTCATTTCAGCAAACAAGTTTTTTTTGTCTAATATGGTCCCTAGGTTGATGAGGCAGTTCCTCAGAACATGGGGAAAACTACAGGGAGAAAAAATATTATGGACGTATGCCTCAAAATTGTGGCTTGTGGAAACAGCACTATAATTTCTTCTCTGTAATTTCCCGTCTCGTGTTTATGTTGCCTAAATGGTGGGTCCTGAACTAGCAGTTCCTCCTCAACTTCGAGGTCCATGGTTCGGGAGGCTATCTGCCTTTATCCCTCTGTCCTCTATATCCAGGGATGTCTCCACAGCTGGAGAGCAAATTCTATGCTTCTTGCCCATTTTTCCACTTGTACAGTATCCTTTAAATAGGTGGAACAGGAGAAGCTCTTAGAGCCCAACTGGGACAAAGTCCCCATTTTACAGACAAGAAAGTTGAGACCCAGGAAGGCCAAATGGCGTCTTGATCAATTCCACATGTCTGTCTTGGAGCTCAGTGCTCTCTCCGCCGTATCACACGGCCACAATCACAAGTAAGGTTCTCCTAAAAGATATGCACCAACACTTGCAAATTATGTGTATATGTGTGAATAAATATAAAACAATGTGATATGGTTTCTATTAGAGCAGTGCATCTTCACGACATATGGTTGAGTCTAAAAAAACAAGTGTGGAATAATATGTACAGTATAATCTTATTTCTGCTCCGCTTTTCCCAACAAAAATAGCAGCCTGTGTGTGTGCTTCCGTGTGACTGTATGTATGAGTACCTATGTGCATGTTCTCACACGCATAGCAAAGGTCCAGCGTATGCCCGCCAAACTGTTCAGTGGATTCTTCAGTGGGGGGGGAGACTCTCATTCTTTTACTTACTATACTCTGCTATTGCTACATGTTTTCCAACGGGCATGTTGCAATGAAAAAAGACACGAGTGAGTATAAATATAGTAGCTGCCATTTACTGCGTATGAAGTACACGCCAGGCACTATGCTGGTCCCCTTACACACACCATCTCATTTCTTCCCCATCGCTCTAGAGGGTGCGACTATCATTACACCCCAGATAGGGAAACTGAGGCTTCAAGAGGACGTCCAGCTAGTAAGTGGGAGAGCTGGGATCTGAACCCAGGACTATCTGACATGAACGCTATATGCAGACTCAAGTGCACTCAGTAAAGAAAAGGGTGAGTGTCTCCCATGGGAATGTCATCCGTTTATTCTGAGTTGCTTCTCAGCAGAAAAAGGCTGCCGGCTGCCATGCAATTGAACTAAGGCACCTTGGGGTATCTGCCGCCCGAGCTCAGGGCCCCTCTCTGGTGGCCCATCCCCCATGCTCCTCCATCCTCACCATTCCGGGCAATCTCTCCCTGTGTGAATTCCATTAAAGGCCTGCTCACTGCTATTTTGAGTCCTGCATTAGCACGTGGGCTTTGATTTGACGGGAGAAGTCCAGACACCTCAAGATGATGAAAATTAGAAATGTCCTTTCTCCCCTCAAAGTTCTAGAAGCTCTTGCCCACAGCTCCTGGAAGGCCTGAGTATCCAATGTATGGAGAAACGTACAGAAGGGAGGGAGAGTAGAAACCTTCATCATCTATTATGGCCTTTGAACTTGGCTGTTCCTTCTCATTGGAATGGCCATCTCCTAGCCAATCTCATGGCTCATTTCCTATCTCCTCCAGGTCTTGACTCAAATACCAATTCACCACCAAGCCCTTCTCTGACCACCACTCTGAAACAGCACTTCCCTCCCCATCCCTGTTTTTCCGAGTCCTATGTTCCTTTGTTTCCATAGCACTTGTCCCCAGACACACTGCACATTCACTTGTTCATTTGTTTACTGTTCACGCCAGTAGAATATAAGCTCCATAAGGGGCCAAACTGTTCTGTTCACAGCTATATCCCCACTGGTACCAACACTGGTGCCTGGAATGCTACAGATGCATAGGAGTTAAAAAAATTAATGAATCCATGAAAGGACTTGAAAAACAGAGTCTGAGGAGTTGCTTAGCAGAGGGTGCAGTTTTCCCTCCAATATCATAGGATTATAAAAACTTTAGCAGAGAGATTTGAAAACTCAGAAAAGCATCATCCCCACCCCCAAGCTGTTTTGCATCCGGCCCCACACGGACCATGAATGAGAAGGCTTTGGGAAATAAACACACTAGGAAGTCGTGTGCAGTTGGAGTTCTGCTTGCTAACACATGTTCAAAAACAAAAAGCCCAGTTTAGACGAAAATAGCAGGAAGCTGTCCCCCAGGGACACCTGATGAGGTCATGGTGCTTGACGCTGCTGTTTCCATTTTTGTCAGGACTCCTGCCTCCTGCCAACTCAAGGAGGCCAGGAACCACGTCCAGTCCCCCGAAGCTCACTGGGAAGCCAGAGAGCTGCTCAGAGCAGCACACAATAGAACCACTTCCATGGGCTCTCCCTGACTTCAGATCCAGGCCAAGAACACAAATGATCCTAGTCTCACCTCTCTCACTTACCTGCTGTGTAGCCTTAGACAAGTGACTCTCTCTGAGTTGAAGTTTCTACATCCACACATAAGACAGTTGCACTTAGTATTTCTTAAAGTGTCTTCCCACTATAACTTCCTATGACCTCTTGCAAAGGTTCCAAAACAGGAGGGAAAGGTGAGTGCTGGGATCCCCACATGGCCAGTCCAACTCAAGGATTTGCTCATGACAGCAACCCTACCACCTGGACTGCCCAGAGGAAGCTGAAGGGTTAAATACTCCACTTGGGGGGCAGATTAAGCTGAGGGGCAACAGGGAACATTTAGACTAGAGCTAGAGAGCTGCGGCCATGAGAAAGTAAAGCTGACCCCTCAGAGAGACTATCAAGAACATTCCCTCTAATGACCTTTTCCGGCAGGACAAGAGGAAGACTATGCAAGGAGAAATCCCAAGCATGTAGAGCCCGCACCCTCTGGGCACACAGCCAGCCAGGTCTGCTCCAGGGAAATGGGACAAAAAGAACACATTCTTGGGCTGGTTTGACTCTCGAAAGAAAAGTAGCAAAAACAATTGAGGTGCCCATCTTTCTGCAGACAGAGGAAAGACATGGACAAAACCCCATTACTGCATATGCTGAAGTCACACTTCTACCACACTTCTGACTCCACTCACCCTCCTTCCGCAAGGGTCCAAAAGCCCAAATTTGGAATAATTTATGTTCTCGCTTTCCACCCGAGCAGCCATTCCCATCCTTCTGGATATGGGAAGGTCCCCTTCCATCCCTTTCTTGGCAGTAATGTGTTTGATTACTCATCAGCTTCCAGGGAGGCTGCCAAGAGGAGACAGGCAGTTCTCCGAGCCATGCAGCCTTATCTGCAAGGTCCGTGTTGCAGCATCAAAGTGGGACCGTTGGGGGGAAATACCAAAGGCCTCCAGGGTCTCCCAGCCACAGAAGGAGAGCTCTCCAGGGGCCAAGCAGATTGGGAATGCCCCAAGAACAGGCCGCAGACACGGCTGTGCATTCACTATCTATTCACCTGCTCGATAACATGAATCAAGATATAACTGTGCTTCATGGCAAATCAGTGTGGAAATATTTCTGACTCAGGCTGCCACCCAAGATGAATGAGGTTAGAGAGATGGAGGAACCAGCCCAATGAAGCCAGGAGACTGCTGACCGTGCCCTATTGGCAGAATCTCAGATTCAGCAGACCCAGAGCAGATGAAGCAGTCAGGGCTGGAGGCGCAAATCCCAGAACACTCCGCCTTGCCTCTCCCCTCTCTGCCGTTTTCCTTTAATCTCCTTCGTTTCCTGCCATGCCCTGTGCTGCAGCTAGTAAGACAGCCGCTGGAGTGCTCCAGTCCGTCCCTCCCTCGTGTTTCTCTCTCTCTCTCTCTCTCTCTCTCTCTCTCTCTCTCTCTCTTTCACACACACACACACACAC